TCCCTGGACCCCATCCTTGGTTCCCCACAGACTTCCCCCCCCTCCCTCCTCGCCCTCACCGGTACTCCCCTCCCCCCCCGCTTCAGCCCCCTCACTCCAGATCCACTGCGCAACCGCTCCGCGCTCCTGACTGCACCACCACGCAGCCGAGCAGCAGCACTTCCATGTCTCAGATTCGACCTCCAGCGCAACTGTCTTGCATCTTCACCACCCCCTCTACCTCCTCCTCTCTCTCCTCTCCTCTATGAAGACACCCACGACGAACTCCTCTTCCTCCACCTCCTCGCGCCCTCCATCGCCCCCATCGTCCGCACCATGGCGGGCACTCCAGTTCTTCTTTTCTCGGGCACCCCCACCATCTTCGAACCCACCACGTATGAGGAGGCTATTGCCTGCCTCGACGCACCGCTCTGGATTGAAGCCATGGTCAAGGAGAGCAACGCCTTCATCCACAACCGCTCCTTCATCGACGTCCCTCGCCCTGCCAAGACCAATGTCGTCAAGGGCAAATGACTCTTCCGTGTCAAGCTTCTCCCTGGCGAAGACCCTGTCTACAAAGCTCGCTATGTGGCGAAGGGCTTCACGCAGAAGCACGGCTTTGACTTCTTCGAAACATACTCACCCACTGCTACCCCACCGGTCGTTCGGGTGTTCCTCGACTTCGTCGGCAGACGCGGCATGCTGCTGCACTCCATGGATGTCACTACCGCCTTCCTCCAAGGCGACCTACACGAACTCATCTTCATGGAACGCCCCAGAAGCTTTCACGCTCCACATGACCCGTCCACCGTTTGGAAGCTGCTGCGGCCCGTCTACGGCCTCAAGCAGGCACCCCGGGAGTGGCATGCCAAGCTCTCTTCCACCCTTCGCGAGCTTGGTTTTCGCCCCTCCCGAGCTGCCTCCAGCCTCTTCCTTCGGACGGCTCCGTCCCCTTTCTACATTCTTGTTTACGTCGACGACATGCTACTAGCTGCCGACACAGATGCTGAGATGCAGGAGGTCAAGGACGAACTACAGCGTCGACTCGCCTGCAAAGACCTGGGGGAGGTCCGCAACTACCTTGGCATGGAGATCACCCGCGACCTCAAGGCTAAGACTATCTCCCTCTCTCAGTCCTTCTACATTGAGAAGGTCCTTGAGAGGTTTGGAATGTCCAAAGCCAAGCCCATCGCCACTCCGCTTGCAGTTGGGCATCAGCTCTCGCCCCCTGCCACCCCCACCGACTCCTCGAACCCCTATGCAGAGCTTGTCGGGGCCCTGATGTATGCCATGGTCTGCACCCGCCCCGACCTTGCCTACCCAGTCAGTGTTCTGGCGCGGTTCGTTGGTGTTGGCAGGCACACGGAGGAACACATGACGGCGGCCCGGTGTGTCCTACGCTACCTTCAGCATACGAAGAATTACTCTCTCACCCTTGGTGGAGCGGACCCGCCGGTTCTCACTGGCTTCAGCGACTCGTCCTGGGCAGATTCACAACCTGACCGTCGCAGCTCACAGGGATATGGTTTCTCCCTTGGGAGCGGCCTCATCAGCTGGCGCTCCACCCGCTCCTCCTCCATCGCCCTCTCCTCCTGCGAAGCCGAACTATACGCGGTCACGATGGCGGCACAGGAAGCACGCTGGCTCAGCTATCTCCTCACAGACCTTGGCTCACCACAACCATGTCCCACCCTCTGGTGTGACAACGCTAGCACCATCCACCTCACCAAAGAAGCTGTCTTCCATGGTCGCTCCAAGCATATCGAGCTCCGACACTACTTCGTCCGCAACCTTGTCCAGGATGGCCACATCACCGTGCGCAAGATCGACTCATCCTCCAACCCCGCCGACATTTTCAATAAGGCCCTTGACCGCGCTACTCACTCGGCAATCTTGCCCCTCCTGGGCCTTGCCCCCCATGGTGACTGATTCAGGGGTTGCTGTCTTATCTCATCCAGGTTTAAGGATCTCTGCAGGCTAAGGGGTTGTGTTAGATTATACTACTCTTCTGTATCCTGCATTGATCCTATAAACCCTAGGATAGAGATAGGCACCCAAACAATGTTTGGGTGCACAACTAGGGTTAACCCTAGGTGGGGGTTGGAACCCAACCTTGGCCCAATTATTGGACCCCAAGGTTGGGTTGGAGGATTATTGGCCCCCCCAATAATGTTGGCCCACTTTGACCAACATTATTGGGACCCCCCAATAATTCTCCAACCCAACTTATTGGTGGGGGCCAATAATGTTGGCTAGGTACCAACCACCCCCCTTTCCTTAGCTCCAACTATGTAAGCCCTCATCATTCCTAATCAACTCATCGGTTCAATTCTCACAGCCTAACCTGCTGCTTGCCTAACCTGCTGCTTGCCTAACCTGCTGCTTGCCTAACCTGCTGCTTGCCTAACCTGATGCTCGCCTAACCTGCTGCTTGCCTAACCTGCTGCTTGCCTCACCTGATGCTGCCTTTTCATCACGCTGCCTTCTTCCCCGCACTTCTCCTCCTCTCATCTCTTCTCCTCCCCTCCGTGCTCTCTCCCTTCCCCCTTCTCCCCTCCCTTTCTCCTCCCTCGCCTACCAACTCTTTTCCATCCACCTCCCTCTCCTCCACTCTCTGCCCCTCCTCCCTCGCCTCTACTTCCACCTCTCTCGGCGACCTCCCATCCTTCCCCCTGCCCTCCTTCTCACTCTCCCCTGACTCCTCCCTCGCCTCTCCCCCCTCTGCTTCCCTTCTCGCCTCTCCCCCCTCTGCCTCCCATCTCGCCTCTCCCCCCTCTGCCTCCCATCTCGCCTCTCCCCCCTCTGCCTCCCGTCTCACCTCTCCCACCCTCACTGAAATGACAGAACACTCCTTCTCGCCACTCATGCTCCAACCATTTCGTGCCTCCTCCACACCTCCCTCCACCCCCATGCACCACACGCCCTTCTTCCTCCCCACCCCCCTTCTCCGCATCCCCATCAACTCCCTCCCCACACGCCTGTCTAGCCTGCAGCACTATTCTCGTCAATCCACTAACACGCTTTTGCTTCGGGGTCTGCCTCTCCATTTCCCGCCTCACATCCATGCTCTCCCTGGTTGCTGGCTTCACCTGCACCCGCGCCCCACTCCTCCGCCTGCCCATTCGCCCTTCCTCCGCCCTCCTGCTCCCCCTTCTCCCACTCCTCGCCTCGTTTCTGCCAAACCAAACCCACGCGCGCCCGCATTCTCACTCCCCCTTCCCCTCTCGATCCCTCCCCTCAACACTCCGCCTACCCTTCCCCCTCCGCGCGGCAGCCCGTCATTGTCACCCTCATATGCGCTCCCCATCCCACTGGCGCGCAAATCATTCTCCGCTGAGTCTCAACGGTAGAGGCTCACGCGTAGCAGGAGTGGCGGCGGCGGTGGCAGCGGCAGCGGCGGCGACGACGACGGCGGTGGTGACGGCGGAGCGTGACCTACACCGCATTCTACCGCCACTTCGCGCCGCCGCCGCCACCACTCCAGCCTGTGCTGCTCGCAGAGACACTCCAACCCTAAACCCCACTAGGCTTCATTTCGGGCATGACAGATATGGTGGTGGGAGTGAGACGGTGGTGGGAGTGAGACGGTCCATCCATGTGTCCCTCTCTTCACCCATCATCGCCCCATCCATGTGTTCCTCTCTGCCCTAATCATCTCCCCATGGAGTGAGTGTGTCGCCGGGGTGAGAGGCAGGAGGTGAGCACAAGGACAGAGTCAGGCCATGGAAGTGAGATTGCGGTGGGAATGAGATGGTGGTGGGAGATGGTCGCACTATCCATCTGTCCCTCTCTGCCCCCATCATCTCCCCATAGAGTGAGTATCATCTCCCCATGGAGTGAGTATCATCTCCCCATGGAGTGAGTATCATCTCCCCATGGAGTGAGTATCATCTCCCCATGGAGTGAGTATCATCTCCCCATGGAGTGAGTATCATCTCCCCATGGAGTGAGTATCATCTCCCCATGGAGTGAGTATCATCTCCCCATGGAGTGAGTATCATCTACCCATGGAGTGAGTGAGTATCATCTCCCCATGGAGTGAGTATCATCTCCCCATGGAGTGAGTATCATCTTCCCATGGAGTGAGTATCATCTCCCCATGGAGTGAGCGAGTATCATCTCCCCATGGAGTGAGTATCATCTCCCCATGGAGTGAGTGAGGACCTGTACCACGAGGACCTGTACCACCAGGACCTGTACCACGAGGACCTGTACCACCAGGACCTGTACCACGAATACCTATACCACCAGGACCTGTACCACGAGGACCTGTACCAACACCCCACTTCTGGCCAGGCAGCGCCGAGAGAGAGGCACCACCACGGGAATGCTGCATAAATTACGCATACATTAGCAACCCCTCCCGCATACACTTCCCCAGATTCCCCACCTCAACGAGTGCCACCAGATAATGGTAACACCCCACCCCACCTTTACCTGGCGTCGGGTGAAAACCGGTGAAACACGACTAGGTGTAGCACGAATTCATGCATTACCCGTCACGGGCTGCCCTGCCTAACCAGCCCTGCCTAACCAGCCCTGCCTAACCAGCCCTGCCTAACCAGCCCTGCCTAACCAGCCCTGCCTAACCAGCCCTGCCTGACCAGCCCTGCCTGACCAGCCCTGCCTAACCAGCCCTGCCTGACCAGCCCTGCCTGACCAGCCCAGCCTGACCAGCCCTGCCTGACCAGCCCTGCCTAACCAGCCCTGCCTAACCAGCCCTGCCTAACCAGCCCTGCCTAACCAGCCCTGCCTAACCAGCTGGGAGCTCTCCCTGCGCGCGCGTGCTGGCCCCACCCGCCATCGCCGATTCGCCTCGCACATCTGCTGCCGCGGCTGTCCACCATCGCATAACGGCCTTTGTCTCTTTATCTCCGTCGACAGCCGCTCAATCGTCGCAGTCCGCCGTTCTTTCTCACAATTCGTCGCTCGCGTCGCAGTCCATCGCTCTCTTATCAGAGCGACAAACAGGCAATGACTGACATTGCCTGTTTGTCGCTCTGTCGCAATGGCACGGGCCTCTACCGCTTCGCCGCTCCACCACCGTCGTCACCGCCGCTCTGACCTGTGCTGCTTGCAGCGACGCGGCTGCTTCCGCCGGTGTCCCCACCACCGTCGCCGCCCTGTCTTGGCGGCCGCACCCGTGCTTGCGCCGCCCGACATTGCTGCCGCTCCTCGCTCGTCTGCTTTCGCGGCACTAGGCCACCGCAAATCGAATTAATCGCAATCGTCGCCTACCCTCACTCGTCGCTCGCCAACCGTCACTCGTCGCTCGTCGTTTATCGTCGCTCTTCTCTCTATCGTCGTCTACCGTCGCTCGTCTGCTGTTCCTTTCGTCGACAGTCGCGGTTATGTCGACGTCCGTCGCTCTGTCGTCTCCCTGTCTGTCGCTTTGACGCGACCTCTATCGAGCCACTAATTGACGCCCAATCCTGAATGCGGGTCCTGAAAATCCCTACATACAGAGTCTACAAAGCGGCCAATGTTCGCCGAGTGGTGGGGTGATGCAATTTAGGCTTTTACAAACTGATTCGATGAACGCACTGTTATGAGTGGGAGGCTTTACAAACTAGAAAACAACTGAATGTCCTACGAGTGTCTACGAGGGTAAATAGGCAGACTCGAGCTAGGCGAGGTCCTTGGAGCGAGGTTCGGTATCCGGCGAAAGGTCCGGAAGCGTCTCGCAAGTGGTTCGGGGCGAATTGTAGGCCGAACCTGTTGAAGCGAACTCTTCGGAAGATACAAGCCAAAGTAATCTACAGCGAAACAAATAAAGGTATAATTTCTTATTCAGACTCACCGTAATGATCTCTGGTCTATGTAATATTTGGATTAACCCCAATAAATATCTTCGCAAATTCTACGAGTTTACTTGCCATGTTCAACAATTGCGGAAAAAACATTATCGCGCTACAACGAAACAAACTTAGCTCATCCGATGCAAATACGTATCTCACATATATCACTTCTAACAATTTATGTGTACGCAAGCATTATTCCTTGAAGCCTATAGAAACCCTCTCACATCAGAACCCCCCCCCCCCCCCCCCCCCCCATCCTCCTCTCCCTTTTCCCCTCCCCACCTCTTACCTGTCCCAGGCACCTCTCCACGTTAGCCGCCAGCACCACACACTTGACCCTCCCGCTGTGCACCGCCTGCCCTACCTCTTTCAGCCCCGCCAGCACATGCTGCCTCATCGCTCCCTGTGCCATGGGTTGGGAGGGGGATGGAGAAGGGGAGGGGAGAGGAATGATTTCCTTCAGGCCCACACAACCTGCCCCACATCCTTGCTACCTGTGCATGGGGGGCTGAAGTGGGAGGGGGAATGGGAGGGGGAGGGGGATGGGAGGGGGAGGGGAGAATCTTCTTCAGCCCTACACCGCTTGCCCCACGTCCTTCAGCCTGGTTGGCACGTGCCGCTGCCTCATTGCTCCCTGCTCCCATGCGTCGTTGGGGGATTGACGGGAAGACTGGAGGAGGGAAGGGGGAGGGAGGAGACTGCGAGGTGATGGGGTGGAACGTTGAGGTGAGAGGGAGAGACTGCGAGGTGAGGAGGTGGGGAGGACTATGAGGCGAGAGGGTGGCACGGGAATATCCTGAGAAAGTTGAGAAGGTGGGAACTGTCACCGCTCTGCAACGTACTATACCTTACAGCCTAAGGGGATGGGGGGCACGGAGGTGAGAAAGGGGGAATGGATGGACCAGCAGTGCAGCTAGCAGTGAGTTCAGTTACGGAGTGACCACCTGGTGGGCGTACCTCGGGGAAGTGCAAAGGCAAGGGGGGCAGTGCGTGGGAGGAAGGAGAGCGGGGGCGTGACAGATCGCCAATGAAAGGTGAAGCTTCAGAAGCAGGTGAAGCTTGGGGAAAGGCAAGGCAAGGCTGTGAACATGAGATCGCCAATGCAACATGCAATCACTAAGGTACATTTAAGGCGCCTCAAGATATGTCTGACTTTAAGCTTCGCGGCAAGGCCAAGAGAATCCGATCGCCAAGGGAAGGAGTAGGGCGCACTTCGCCACACCTACTATATGCCTCGCCTACTGCATGCCTCACCTACTGCATGCCTCACCTACTGCATGCCTCGCCTGCTGCATGCCTCACCTACTGCATGCCTCACCTGCTGCATGCCTCACCTGCTGCATGCCTCCGCGCCTACATGTGTCTGAGGTCGCCTGTATTCTGCAGGGTGTTCTTGAGGATTCTGAAACCTCCTCGCCTTACCTGCTGCATGCATGCATGCCCATGCCACATTCTTCTCCTCCTTCACCTCTCCGTCCTTCTCCTCCCACCGCTCTTCCTTCTTTCCCTCCTCTTCCTTCTCCTCACCCACTGCACTCTTCCACCTTGCCCTCCTCATCACCTTTGCTCCTCTCAGACCTCGTCATTTCTTCCTCTTTCCATTGCTGCTCCATCTCTTCTCCCGTCTCTCTTCCCTTCTCGCCTTTCTTTCTCCACCCTTGTCCTCGCCTAACCACTGGTTTCCATCCACCTCCCTATCACCCACTGTCCTGTCCACGCTCTTCCCCCACTCCTGCACCTCTTCTCCCACTCCTGCACCTCTTCCCCCACTCCTGCACCTCTTACCTGCATGCTTCCTACTCTACCCCCGCCCTCCCCTCCTCCCCCCTGCCCTCCATCCCACCTTCCCTGCGGTTGGGATGGGAAGGGCGGTTGGGAATGGGTGGATAGGGGTGCTGCGTGCAGTGGCGGCATTTGATGGGATGGGTGGTGATGTGTTGGGATAGGGGCAGCGTCAAGGCCACCTGGGGAGACGACAGAGGAGTGGGTGGGGTGGGTGATGGTGGTGAGGCTGGTTGGATAGGGATACGTGGAACTTTGAATGCTGCATGCGGCAGCTTCTAATAGGGTGGATGTGAGGGCTATCTCAAGACCACCTGGGGATTGGGCGGAAGAGGGGTGGGGAGGGTGGGTGGGGGTGGTTTAAACATTGAGTGGTGCATTCGCACACAGCCCACCTCAAGACCATCCAACAGAAGCGATAAATGATGATGCGAATTCACGGGAATGTTTTGCATAATAATCAACCCCCCAATCTCCTCTCCCACTCCATTCTCCTCACCCTTCCCCCCATTCTCCTCTCAATTCCCCCCAAATACTCACCTCTCTCAGGCACCTCCGCATCAGGCGCCAGCACCACACACTTGGCTCCCCATCGTTGCACACCATTCACTGTCACCACTCCCTCCCGCTCCCCCACCTGCCCCAGGCACCCCTTCCACTTGGTGGTAAGCAGCACGCCCATTGGAGCAGCGCGGTGAGCTCGGGAGTGAGCACCTGATGAGCACCTGGTGAGCACCTGGCGAGCACCTGGCGAGCACCTGGCGAGCACCTGGTGAGCACCTGGCGAGCACCTGGTGAGCACCTGGTGAACGAGGAGTTTGAGGTGGGGAGAGAAAAGATGTGAGGAGGGGGGGTGCGGAAATTTGACGTGCTGAAACCTCCTCGACTCACCTGCTGCATGCCTCCACGCCAATGTAAGTGGTCGGCTGAGCCTGCCACATTCGTCTCCTCCTTTCACCTCCCCGTCCTTCTTCTCCCATCCCTCTTCCTCCTCTCCCTCCTCTTCCTTCTCTCCCTAGTTTTCCTTCTCCTCACCTTAGTGGGAATATACGCTCAAACCTGTTTGCGTTTAGCGTATACACGCTATCGTGTATACGCAAAACGCTAAACGCTATCGAATACCCTATACGCTCGCCAATTTTTTTTTGGGGCAGCCCGGCCAGAAAATTTCAACCTATACGGTTCGCTTCGGAATTGCATGACGAAGACATTGGCGGGGTCAGATGGCACGTCCGCGCTGTGTGCTAACGTGGACGTGGGTTGAAAGTTCGTGTTGCAAATGGAAAGCCAAGTTCGTCAAGTCGCGCCTGTACGTTCCCTCACATTTTGGTGTTCACTATCAGTAACGCATTCAAACCCTTCGCAACCAACACCTCTCCAATTTTTGTTGGCCATCTTCCCACTCCCACAATCAACTCGCTATAAAACAACCACGCCCCCAACATCCAACTCATTAGGTCTTCTCTCGCTACCAGCAGAGCACTAGGCATTCCCTAGCGCATGGTGCCTATGTCGACGACTACTACCTCTCCTCTAACGCCACCGTCAGTTACCACCGTTGGCAGTTCACAAACTCTTCTAACCGAGGCACGGGAGTATCTCCCCGACGTTGACCATGGCGTCTTCAAGCACTTCCGCATCATCAAGAGGGTCGAGGGAAAAGCTCAGCAGTACGAGTGCAAGTTCTGCAGCAACGTCTACACTGGTGCTGCCATCCGATGCGCGCAACACTTTACGTCGTGGAAGGGGATGAAACGCCGTGAAGTGGTGCTTTGCAAGGATGCGCCGCAAGATGTGCGCTTGGCCATGCGCGCGAAATACGAGGCAAAGGCTGCTGCGGCCGAAGAGAAGAGGCGGGCAGCAGCTGAAGCGGTTGCCGCGGTCAAGGCTAATGGTGTGAAGCGGGCGCGCATCACCGATTACCTTGAGGGGGATGCGACTGCAAGAAAGAGAGAAGCGGACGAGGCACTTGCGCTTGCTTGGGCCGCCCTCCATATCCCCGAGCGCCACATTGACCATCCTCTGATGGTCAATGCATTGAACCTCGTCAAGCGCGCCGGCGTCGACTACGTCCCTCCCAAGAGGAAATACATCGGCGGTGCTGGCCTTCTCTCGTGTCGCAACGGAATCGAGCAGGGTTTGGTGGGCATTAAGGCAAGCTGGAAGAGGACGGGCATGACGGTTTCGTCCGACATGATGACGGACCGCAACGGCAGGCCGCAGGCGAACGTGCTTATCGTAAACGATTCCGGCGCCGTCTTCACCGACTGTATTGACTGCAACATGGAGAGGAAAACCGGAGGTTACGTGGCGAGGATTCTTAGGCCCGTGGTGGAGGAAGTGGGTCCAGAGAACGTTGTTGCGTTCTGCATGGACGGGGGGTCAAACTATGCGGTGGCGGTGAAGCAGCTCATATGGGAGTGGCCGCACATTCAGGATGTGCCGTGCGCCACTCACGTATTGGATCTTCTCATGGAAGATGTCGGTAAGATGGGATGGGCTAAGCCGGTGGTCGACAAGGGAGGGGAGACATCTAGCTTCGTCCGCAACCACCACTGGACCCGAGGGTACCTGTGGAAGCCGGAATTGGTGGAGGGGAAGGTTCTGCAGGCGCTGAAGCCGGCTGGAACCCGATTCGGGACCAACTACATAGCCATATCCCGGCTATGTGCGATGCGCGGCAGCCTTACCAACATGGTGACGAGCGAGGGCTGGAAGGAGTGGGCGGTAGGGGACCGGAAGAAATCGTGTGACGGGTTCAGTGCGCTGATCCATGATGCCGCCTGGTGGAAGACGGCCGAGTTCTTTGTCGCCCTGCTGAAGCTGCCCTTTAAGGTGATGAGGCAGACGGACGGGCATGCCGTGGGGATGATGGGGAGGCTGTACGATTTGATGCTGCGGTTGACTGAGGACGTGGGGGGCTTGCTCGATGCGGACGAGGAGCAGCTGAGCGACGGGGACAAGGACAAGATCCGCCGCATCCTCAGAGACCGCTGGGACGGCAGCCTCGCATGCGCCACGCATGTCGCTGGCCGCATCCTCAACCCCGCGAATCAGGAGGAAGATATTTTCGGCACTGATCCCGAGTGCACGAAAGTCTTCAAGGCGTTCATCAGCCAGCAGGCCGAGTTCCTTGCGAGCCGCGGGGATGGGGGGGATGACGCGTGCGACATCTTGCTTGAGCTGGGGGACGGGCTGAGGGCGTTCCTTGACATGAAGGGTTCTTTTGGGATGCCGGAAGCCGTGGCACAGAGGAAGCTGGTGAAAGAGGGAAAGTATAGCATGGTGAAGTGGTGGCAGTGGAATGGGACTGATGCCCCTCGAGTGGCGGGGCTCGCGGTACGGGTGTTGTCTCAGGCCGTGTCAGCCTCACCTTGTGAGCGTGGATGGTCCTCGTGAGATGCCGTCCACACCGCACGTCGAAACAGGCTCGGATCCGCCAAGTGCAGGGACTTGGTCTATGTTGTGCACAACTGGAATGTTGTGCGCAACTGGCATACGCGCGCCGATGTCTTGCCACATGTGGTGCCCGGGATTGGAGCGGAGCCTCCAATCCCGGCGGGATACAATGGGCTGGAAGACGAGACGAAGGGAGAGGATGAGGAGGAAGGCGAAGACGACATCCTTGAAGACGAGTACGCTAACTAGAGGTGGCAAATGTGGCTTGTTGTAGGCGACTAGTCCTAAGGAGTAGTACGTAGCTTGTCTTAGAGAGAAGTGATGGTCGTGATGGAGTAGTGATGATAGTAGTGATGGTAAGTGATGATGGTAAGTGATGATAGTAGTGATGATAGTGATGATAGTAGTGATGACAGTAGTTATGTGTAGGCCGTGGTATATGTGTAATGTGGAAAAAAAAAATCTCTTAAACTTCAGGCCCCATACCCCCCCCCCCCCTCCCGGCTTTTTTTGACCCTGCCCGGGAAGTTTTTTTTCTGCCTGAAAAAGCGGATTTCCAAACCCGTCCCTACAGCGTATAGCATATATAAGATTGCGTATATACGATAAGCGTTTATACGCAATAAGCGTATATTCCCACTAAGCTCCTCACCTATTGCATCTTCCCCCCTCCCCTCCTCCCACCTTTGCTCCTCTCCGCACTCGTCATTTCTTGCTCCTTCCCTTGCCCCTTCTCTTCTCTCGTCTCTCATCCCGTTTCTCCTCTCTTTCTCCACCCTTATCCTCGCCTACCCACTGGTTTCCATTCACCTCCTATCACCCACTGTCCCATGCACGCTCTGCCCACACTCCTGCACCTCTTCCCTGCACGCTTCCTCCTCTACCCACCCCCCCCTTCCCTCCTCCCCCCTGGCCTCCATCCTGCCTTCCACTAACCTTTCCCCCACCTCCCCTCCCGCCACCACTGTGGCAGCACACCCACCTTCACGCCTCTCCTGCTCCACCCATTCCATGAATCCTCCATACCTTCCACCATCGCCATACCTCCCATTCTTCCCGTGCCTCAAACCATCGCCATTGGTTTCATCTAGCCCAAGCCTCCCACCACTCCGGAGCACCGCGCGTCTTTTTTCCTCCCTTTCTTCTCCCTCCTCTTCCTCCTCCTCCTCCCCCTCCCCCTCCCCCTCCCCCTCCCCCTCCCCCTCCCCCTCTTCCTTCCCCACCCACTCCCGTTTCCTCAATTTCTCTCCCATCCCATCCCCATCCAACGACTCCTTATTCCCCCCCTCCCCATAACCCTGCTCCCCCTCCCCCACACCCCATCCTCCCCCCTTCCCCTATCTTGCCAGCCCCACCATGCGTTTCAAGCACCTAACTCACTTCTGATTCGGTGTCTGCCTCTCCTTCCCCCGCCTCACACCCATGCCCTCCCACGTTGCTGCCTTCACCCGCACCCCCCCCTCCCCGTGCCCACTGCGGCGCCCCTCGTTCCCTTTCCGGTGCCCTCCCATTCGAGCCCCCTCAAGCCCTGCGTGCACTTCCCCCTTCCTTGTGCTCTTCCCCACCCTTCCGCCCGCCCCTTCTCCCCTCCTCCGCCCTCCTGCTCTGCCCCCTGCTCCCCCCTCTTCGATCCCTCACCTCGTTTCCGCCAGACCCAAGCCACACGCGGCCCCATCCTCACTCTCTTCCACCCTTTCTCTGCACCTTCCCTCCCCCATCCCATCCGTGCCCCCTTCCCTTCCATGCGTCCGCCCGCCACTGCTGTCCCCATCTGCGCTCCCCCGTCCCCCTTTCCCCATCTGCAAACCCGCCATTGCTGCTCCTCCGTGCGCCTCTGCTCAGCGCGCCTCTGCGCGCTCTCATCCATCGCAAATTGGTTCTTCTCGCTCTTTTGTGGACAACTGTCATTTCTTCGTCGTCGCCAGTCACTCTCTCATCGCCGTATGCCACGTTCTGTCCTTGCCTGTCTGTCGCTCTGACGCAATCACCCCACTAGCGTTTGCTCCAATCGTCCTTCAAAGCGCCGCGCTCTGTCGTTTCCCCACCCCTCCTCCTGCCCCGCCTTCCCCTTCCGCCCTCCAGCTCCGCCCCCTGCCCCGCCTTCTCCCATCCCTCCCCGCGTTTCCGCCCTCGGCCATATCTCCCCTCTCCCCTCCCCTCCCTGCGCCTCCCCTCCCCGCCCCGCCTCGCCTTCCCCGTCCACACGACCGCCCGTCACAAATGCCCCCATTTGCACTCCCTCCCAAACTGGCACGCACAACAATTTGCGAAGGCTCTCGAGGAGGCGGCGGAAGGGGCTCTTGGTGCAGCAGTGGTGGCGCCGACGCTGGCAGCGGGGGCGACGCTGGTGGTGGTGGAAAGGAACTGGCGTGGATCCAGGCGGGGCGCAACTGGCGTGGGTTTCCACCGCCTCTTCACGCCGCCACTGCCACCGCCGCCACTGCCGCCGCTTCGGCCTTTGCTGACACAACGACGTTGTTGTTTCCGCCGCTACCGCAGGGAACTGTCCCGCATGTGAGCGGTGCTTTCCCCATGCGCCATTGCCGCTGCTCCTCGCACCTCCGCTATCGCGGCTCTCCGCCATCGCGAATTGGAATGTGTCGCTCTCACCGCCCACGGCCCCTCGCTCGTCGCCTACTGTCCCTCGCTCGTCGCCTACTGTCCATCGCTCTTCGCCCACGGTCCCTCGCTCGTCGCCTACTATCGCTCGCTCGACGCCTACGGTCTACTTTTTCTCCGTCGACTGTCGCTGTTTCGTCGTCGTGTCACTCTCTCGTGGCCTGTCTGTCGCTTTGACGCGATAACTATCGGATCGGACCACCGTGACGCACCACTATTGCTCTCCCTGTTCTCGCTTTCTAATGGTCCTCCCGCGGCTCGAGCCAAGCCAAAATGGTGGCCTGACGCAATTGATGCTGATTCGAAATACCTGATTCGTTATGAGCGAGTGTTTCACAAATGAACTGACATGCGCTAAATTAGAAAGCTGGAAAACGCTACTGAATGCCCAATGAATGTTCAAAACGAGATAATCTAGGCAGAGTCGAGCCAGGCGAGAACCTCGGGATAGCGAGGTTCGGAAGGCTGGCGAAAAGTACGGTGGCGACTCGGTAGTGGTTCGGGGCGAGCTTTTAGGCCAAACCAGCTGACGCGAGCGCCTAGAAGCAACTTCGCTAAAGATATCTTACAGCAACATATTACACTGTTGGGCTGAGAAAAATAGCCCTTAGGATCTTTGCAGGGGTGAACTCTGGGTATAACTGATGTAATAGCGGAAGCGTTTAATGAAGAGTTGTGAACCACCTTGCGCTAGTATGTGAGGGCAAAGTTGATTGATTAAAGCAAAGAGATACAAGATTATATAGGGTACAGGGAATATGAAGAGATACAGTTATAACTACTTTACTGTTGCTGTTGCGGTTCGATACAGTGACGACTCGGGCAACTGCTCTGTAATGAGTCAGTTGTGTGTCCTTGCTGTCGCGCTGTACTTGTCAGGTCAAAGGTCGCTGCCCTTTGACTTTCGCGTAACCTCCAGCAACTGCACAACCTCCGAGGGTTGACTCGCCAGTGCTTCGATATGCTTTGCTTCGCTTCTGACTTGGTGTTTCGACACGACAGAGGCGCGTAGAGTCAGTTGTTTCCAACACTCCCCTTCGCTTCTGGAGTTTCGCTGCTGGTGACGTGGCTCTGTCCAGTCAGCAGCATGCAGTACTCGAACTTCTGTTTTCCGAGCTTCTTGGTCAAGTAGTCAGCTGCCATCTCGGACGTGGGGCAGTATGACAGTTCGAGTCTCCCCTTCTCGATCTCGTCCTTCACGAAGAAGTATCGTAGGGCGATGTGTTTCGTCCTGTTCGCGAAGCCGTTCTTGTTGGCTATGCGAATAGCCGACTGGTTGTCGCAGAAGAGGGTAAAGTTTGGTAACTGGGCTAGCTTGGCTTCCTCCAGGAGTTCGCGAAGGTACAGTCCTTCCTTGGTGGCTGAGCAGAGTGCGATGTATTCTGCTTCAGCTGAAGAGAGGGCGATTAATTCCTGCTTGCTCGACTGCCAGGAGATAGGTCCGATAGGCTCGAGGCGATAGATGTAGCCAGTGCGCGAGCGTCTGTTGTCGGAGTCACTGGCGTGATCGGCGTCAACGTAGCCGATTAGTTTAGGCGTTGTAGTCCCGTTCTTGTGATAGGTCAGGCCGATCGTCGGAGTGCTAATGAGGTAGTGAAGAGCGCGGTCGAGCTCCGCCAGATGTTCCGCTTCAGGTTTCTTGAGGTAGATAGCGAGCTGGCTTGCAGAGTACGATAGGTCCGGGCGGCAGGTGACAGCTGCGAAGAGGAGGCATCCCAGCTTCCTCTGGTAGTCGCGTATGCCGGCGGGCTTGAGTAGAGCGGAGCCTTCCTTGTGGTTTCCTGCCGTGTAGCGGTATGGCGTGGAGATGACGGTTGACGTGAGTGCGAAGCGCTTGGCGATGGTATCGGCGTATTTCGCGGCGCTGAGGTAGATTGCATTTTCTTCTTCCTGGATGTTGAGTGTGACGGTGGACGAGACCGTGAGTGTGAGATCCCTTTGTTACTCCCCTTCGAACCAGGTAGTGACGCTGTCGGTTGAGCCGATGTAGAGCAAATCGTCTACGTAGACGATGAGCAGAATGTAGTCGGTTCCCTTCGTGAGCCGGTACATGCCTTGGTCGTGAGGTAACTGGCGGAATCCGATGCGAGTGAGTCTTGCGTGTAGGTACTGCTGCCACAGCCTTGGAGCTTGTTTGATACCGTAGAGTGACTTCAGTAGTTGACAGACTTGATTAGGTTCTCCGTTGGAGCCGTGCGGTAGCTCGACGAAGATTTCTGCATCGACGGGTGCGTAGAGGAAGGCGTTGGCGACGTCAATTTGCCGCAGCTTCTTTTTCTTCATGGCGGCGATCGCGAAAAGAATTCGCAGCGAGGTGTGTCGGCTGACTGGGGCGAATGTCTCGGTGAAATCGCGTCCGTGTTCCTGGTCGAAGCCGCGTACGACCCAGCGTGCTTTGAACTTGTCGATGGTGCCGTCAGCCTTTGTCTTCACGCGGAAGACCCACTTTCCGGTGAGAATCGTCTTATTCCGTGCTACGCCGATTGGAACGACCTTCCAGGTGTTGCGTTCCTCCAGTGCTTTCAGCTCCTTGTCCATGGCTTCGCGCCATTTTTCCTTATGTTCCCCCCCCCCCCAGAGCCTGCTGAATTGTCGCAGGCTCCTTAGGAATGGCAGTGCCGTGGACTGCGGTGACCAGGCCAAGTATCTGGAGGCCACTTTGTGTGTAGCGGGGAAGTGATGTGTCCTCGGGATAAACTGCTTCGTCTCCCGCTTCTGGTGTAGGGTTGAAGTTTGGTCCTACACGTTCTGCTTCGTTGGTGTTGACTTGTGCAGGCGTAACGTAACCGTTGTCCGCGAAGTGGTAATAGGTTTCGGCGTTGATGCTTTCGCGTGGATTTTCGTCATCCATTGGCACGTCGATGGATCAGTAAGGGAGGGGTCCGGCTTCTTCCGAGGCTCCTTCCACGTTTTGCTCGTCCCAGTCAGCTTCGTCGTCTGCCGAGGCGAAGGCTCGGGTGCCAAGAAAACCATCGGAGCGATCGGGGTTTCCTTCTTGCAAGTTGGCGAGGTAATACCGGAGGGTGAGGTTTTCGTAGAAGATGACATCACGTGCTGCTACTGTTTCCTTTGTCTCGACGTCGAAAATCTTCCATGCGTTGTAATGTTTTTCGATGCCCAGGTGTAATCCCCAGTGTGCGCGTTGGGAGAATCGGCCAGCTCGTGCAGATGGGGGCCGGTAGTGTACCATGCAGCCGAAGACTCTCAACATTTTTGTGCTACCCAGTTTTCCTGTCCACGGCAGATGCGGTGATGCGTTGTTCGAGAGCGATGATGACGAGAGCAAGTTGTGCAACATGACGGCGTGGTCCATTGCTTCGGGCCACTGGTGGTTGGGCAGGTGCATGCCACGTAGTAGCTTGCGCATGGTGTTCTGGAGGGTCCTGTTCATCCTTTCTGCTACACCCTGCTGTTGATGGGCGTAGGGGAGAGAGATGAGTCGCTTGATTCCTCTCTCTGCCAAGTACTCCTTGAACCTTTGTGAGGTGTATTCTCCCCCTCCGTCTGACTGGAAGCTCTTGAGTTTTAATCCGGATTCTCGTTCTGCTACTGGAAGCCAGGCGACGAAGGCTTCGAAGGCCATGTCGCGGCTTGGAAGATTTAGGTGCCAGACGTATCGAGTGGCTGCGTCGACGAAGGTGATGGTGTAATTGTATGCGTTTTGTCCAGGCTCACGGTTGTACAGGATGTCGCTGTACACCTTTTCGAGTGGCGCGTAAGCTGGTGCGCTTGGGTTGTGGTGAGACGCGAACGGTTGATGCGGTAAGTCAGCTTCGGGACATGTGAAGCATGTTCCACGGGCTCGCTGAGGTTCTCTGCCGTCAGTTAGGAGTAGAGAGTCTTTGTCGAGCACGCCTGCTCTTATCGTGTTATTTAACACCGTGTTGCTTGGGTGACCCATTCTTGCGTGCCAGGTTCCTTCGGTGGCGCGATGTCCGGGTGAGCACCGATACATGTCGGAGTTGGAGTAGAAACCGGCAGTGAAGTTAGCGCTTTGGTGGACTTCTTGTTGAGTCGGTGTCAGCTGCTGCGCGGGTGTTGGTGATGTATCGTCGGTGAAGATTGGTGCCGTTGAAGGACCAGCGATTGGTGTCGTTGTTGCCGCTGCTGTTGTTGTCTCTGCTGCTGCCGATGTTGTCTCTGCTGCTGCCGGTGTTGTTTCTGCTGCTGCCGGTGTTGTCTCTGCTACTGTCGGTGTTGTTTCTGCTGCTGCCAGTATTGTCTCTGCTACTGCCGGTGTTGTTTCTG